GGACTTGGCCTTTCGGTCTTGTCGCAGCTACGACCTTGACTCTTCAGGACTGGACTAGCTACGACCTTGACCTTTCGGAAAGGCTGTGGCTACGACGTCTAGACCTGACTAAGACTCCTAACCGACAGGTCTACAGATCAAACCCATACTACCTACGGACCCTACGACGACCTATCAGCAGTTATAGATGCACAGGTCGCGGGATCGAGCCCTGGGATCTGCATCGGCTACTGCGAACTGGTGAATATCGTTTCAGTTTCGTCTGTCATGCGGTGAGGCCCTTTATCCCTGTTATACTCAGAAGGATCGACACCCAAAGACACAGTAATGCCATTCTGAAGGAGTTAGGTCTGATTAAAGATGCACAGAACAGCAGATGACAGCAAGGATGCACAGAACAGCACATGACAGCAATAACCCTGACAGAATGGAGAAGCGATCCCGAATTCCAACCAATGGCGAAACTTCGCATCCTTTGGTGCCCCCACATCTTGTATCTGCTGCCTGTACACAGTCTGTACGCTTTCTCATGACAGAAGTGGATTGGTTACCACTTGTGCTACACCCCTCAACGACTACACGCCAAACAATTTATTCACCTTGAAAGAAAGAGCCGTAAGAAGTACTGAGGACAAACTCAGACCTTGTCAAAAGCACCCAAAGAAAGCAAACATATTCTCCTAAGTACCCAAATTTATGCCGTGAAATGGAAGGCACAAAACAGCACATCACACCAAGGATGCAGAGAACAGCACATGACAGCAAGGACACACAAAACAGCACATGACAGGGAAAACAAAAGGTCTTAAATCCCATCCAGCAAGTCACCATTCCCATCATCATAATTACATTCATCATCCCAAGAAAAGAGTTGCTTTTCAATCTTGGCAAATACTTCACATACCACGAAGAACGGTGGTGATAACAAGGCAGGCTCTTCTCAGCCCAAATCAGGATTTCCTGAAAATGAAGATTGCCACACGCAGCATGGGATGAGGTAGACAAACAACCGGATCTCTCAGCCCCTGGGTAACCTTTTTTTCAGCAAAACACCTTTCTGATGTCTGGATTGGCATGCCATCATTTTGAATGCACCACCTGCAACAAAACGAAAATGGCCACAGGCATCCTGAGAAGGTTAGAAAATGGACACTTCTATGCTGAGTCGAAATACAGATGACATGAATATGGTTCACATTACAGGAAAATGTGGACCCAGTGCCAAAATTGGCACATGGAACAGCTCCACATCAGATCCACAAGAGGTCCTTTCACAACAGAGGGAAAACGCAGTAAGGCTGCTCCACCCAAAGGCTCACTGCTGGATCAGGTGGGAAAATGACAGAAAACTTGAGAAAACCAATAATTATAAATTAAAACATTAATAACGGGAAGAGCAAACCATGCAGCAAAGAGCTAAAAACCATGTCCAGCCAGAGAGTTCAACACAATACGAGGAAAAACCTGTGTTAAAATCCGGGCCGCCAGGCGTTCCAGCCTTCGTCCGGCAGGGGTTCCAGACGGCCCGGCCGGTTGGGTCCCCCGGTTTGGCGCCGGGCGGGCCCAGCGCAATTTTGCACGGGGGAGGGGGAGGCCTTTTTTCGAGTTTTTTGGTCAGTGGCAGCCTCCCCGCCCCCCCGCGTGAAATTCCCCCCGCATTACTGCCGCCGTAGCCTTGATTCGCCCCCCTGGTCGCCTACGACGCCGCGTTCGAATTCGAACGCAATATTCCCCGCTTCGCTGCATCGCTGCATTTCCGAAGCCCACCGTTGCTGCCGTCTCCAAGCTCGCCAGTCACCGCTCCTCGTAGAGCTGCCCCATTGTCGCCATCGAGCTGTGCCCCGTCGTCGCCATCGAGGTGCCCCGTCGTCGATCGTTGTCGCCGTTGCTGCCGTCTTGAAGCCCGCGCGTCATCACTCCCCGTCGACCTGCCCCGTCAAGCAGCCCTCCCCATCGTCGCCGCCCGTCAAGGTCCTGTCCCGTCGTGGTGTATCCGCCTCCACCTCCTTCCTTCCTCTTCTTCTTCTTTTTCTTCCTCTCCTCCGCCTCCACCTCCTTTCGTCTTCTTCTTCTTCCTCTCCTCCTCCTTTCCTCCTCTTCCTCTTCTCCTCCTCCTCCTCCTCCT